CATCCATCTGGCAGCAGAAAGGAGTATATTTCCCCATGTTGTCTTTGTTGCTTTTTTCTCTCCCAGACCTGGGTCAGACGGGTCTTTCAGTCTGTTACCAAAGTCTGGGGGAGAGATAGAGTTTTGCACCCTCCATCTGCAGTCAGATGGGATTCTCAGACATCAGGTTTATTAGTCAGCGGGGACACAGCGTAGAACAGTCTTGTCAGCATGGACACCAGAAGCGGCCATCACAATCTGTTGTTGGGAGAGGGCCCTAGAGCCGGGGCCTGGCTCTTGTCCTGTGCCCCAAGCCAGCCCAAATTGACCCACCCCCAGCCAGGCTCCTCTTCAGGCCTTTGTCCTGCTTCCTGGGAACATCTGCCATGACTTCTTGTTGTAGAGGGAGGATATGAACCTTTCATGTCTTGCTCCCACGTTCATGTGGCAGGGAGGTCTAGGCAGTGGAGCTCTGTCCCCACTCCGGCCACCCTTGCATGAAAGAAGGTCAGCAGCAAGTGATGCTAATCCCCTAGATCTCTGTATCCACCCTGCCATTCATTTCCACTGTGTGTCCTCTTGTGACCAACAAATGTCTTTTTTCCACGTCATTTACCTGCAGTAACAATGGAACTTGCAGTTGTGGGTCTTGGCTAGTGGACCACCCAGCCAAACTTTGTGCATGGATCTGGGTTGCCACTTTATACTTTAGCAAAAGTCTTGTTGGTATCATTAAAGACTTGCCAGGCAAGTGAAGGTGACCAATGTTCCCTCTAATTTTTCCATTTGGGCGCAGAATAAATTTTGTTATATGCACCAAGGCATGTGCAAATGTGCACCACCAGTAGAAACACATAGTGCTGACTGTGAATGCTGTGGATGCTCTGCTAGTCAGCTTGGCGGCATTTGAATCTCTCCTGGGTGGCTGCCCAAGTGCTCAGCTTACAAGGAACGCTGCAGAGACCGGATTGTGATTTGATTGAGCTTCCCACAGCACCAGAAGGCGCGTAGCAGCTCGTTGCTCTTGCTTTAGCTGCACAGTTTCAAACTGCACATGGGCCTGCCACCATTGTCCCTCCAGAGGATGATGGCTAGAGGGAAAGCTGGAAACATTCAGAAGTGCCTAGAGCTATGATAACACCGTCACATCTGTCTGCAATGTCTTTCTCCATCTACCCAGCCCTTTCTTTGTAGTCCGACTACCAGTTAAGCATCTGCTAAGCTGTTCAGAGACCTCTCTCCTGGTCACTTCTAAAAATGTCTGTTGGGCACGAGTCATTTGTTCAATGAATGGCTCTGATGTTTGTCATTCTCTGCCTCTCCATCGCTGGACTGTGTAAGTCCATTTCCTCTCTCCTAACAGATGTTCCTGGTATTTAGCTAACACCTTCAGTACTCTTGGCAAGCAGCACCATTTATAAACAGTAAATCTTACCTGTGGCTTTACCAGAGAGGAAAGTGGCGGGAGAAGTGTCAGCACATTTCAGATCCTGCCCTGGGTGTCTGCTCCAACCTGTTAAGAGCAACCAATTACGGATGCATTAGCTTTTGGAAAGTTCCTCAAAGGGCTCTGTATTGCGCTTGAGATCTTTGTTTAGTCTTTGAGGGACACTGTCACGTGGTAATTTATCAAGGAGAACTGTTTATCTGGCACTAAAATAAACTCCAAGCTGTTCAGACTGAGATTTCCCGTGAATTTCCACCAAGGTAAACACTGGTAACTGGCAGGTTACAGATTCTCTGTCAAATCCAGACACGTACAATAAATGTTTAAACTAAAGCTTACTATAAAGGGCAGCTGTCACTGGGTCCACCTCACCTCTCCACTCTGCAGCCTCTCCCCATTCGTTCTTGTAACCCTAGCTTACACTTCTAACGCTTTGCCTGCCTCCCAGCAACAATGTCAAGGCTCTAGTCTTAAGCATGGTCTCCCCACTGCTGACGTGCAGTCATGTCTGGGGTGGAAGGCAGCAGCTGTTACACAGCAACATTATGCGATTATTTGGGACATGGAGTGAAGGCAACTGTATCCATCTGAAAGCACAGGAGGAATGTTAGGGAGTCAGAACATTGGGGTCCACACACTGAGGCTGGGAAAAGTGTTTGGGGATCTTTCTTGAGCACAAGTGGTGAGGACCCTCCTGTTGCCTTCACGGGGAAGGTAGCACCTCCAGCAGCCCTGACTCACAGGGAAGCAGCACTTACCGGAGCATCCAAGGGTTCCTTGAATGCTGCTCCTCTGAGAACTGCCAGACCTTGCTCCACTTGTGATGTCTGATGGGGTCATGGCTGCCGGTGCTTCCTGGAGGATGCCCAGGGAGCTTTCTGTTGGCACTGTCCGGATCCCTGATAATGAACCCCAGGAACAGAATAGCTTCTCTTCACAATGCAATTTTCTCCTGGTTATGAATAGAAAGCATCTCCTGCTGTAATGAACTGGGTGATGTGAAACCAGTGCTGCTACATTTCCAGCTGTGTTGATAGATCAGTTCTCCCCTCCGCACCAGCTCTCGAGGGCCAAATAACCTGCAAAAGACTTTCCAGCTCCCTGACAAGGAGAATTGCCTCCATGGGGCAAGCCTGGAAGGAGAGAGCCCGGCATGCTTCATAGGAGGGAGAAGATAGAGGAGAACATTCGCCTAACAGCCCATCTAACACTGGCTGCAAAGCTCAGCCCTGCTGGGAATCCCAGAGTCAAGGGCAGGACTGTGCACAGCTAAGCTGAGGCCAGAGGAGCTGCTTTTCCTTAGGTCCTTTTGCGTGGACCATCTCCCTTCATAAGATCAAAGATGCTGGGAAGAGATGGAGCTTTGACTGGCTCTTCCAGCCCTCAAAATCCGTGAGACTCTTCTTTCCTTAAAACCTACAGTGAGAACTGCTGTTGTACGGTAACATTCAAAGACCCATATCCATTGTGACAAACTTGGTACAAGTGAGCGGTGCAATGCCCTGCTCTGCCGCGGCCACTCCTGAGTTCTCTGTGCAAGGATCCCGGGACTGCTGTACAGCGTACCCAGCTTTCAAAACCAAGCTGATGGCTGAGATTGGTTTTAGTGGCCCTGCCCTTCCTGCAGAGGAAAACTGTGGAGAGCTGCAATGTGCCCTTCCAGGGCTACCCTCCAGGGGTTTCAGAAGGACACAAGATAGGAAGCTTCTTCAGCCAGTTTTGGCAATTGAAGGGTCTCCCTTAATCTCTGTTCTCCCTCCCCTGCTGCAACTGTCACTTAGGCTCTGGTAGTTCTGGCTCTGCTTTCGTTAGGCTGTCTGCTCCCCCGGAGAGGGACTGTCTCTGTGCTTGCAGCGGGGGGCCATTCTTGGACAGGGTGGGTAGGCAGCAATGGGCTCTGGGGAGGGGGCGTTGTGCGGCATGCAGGATCCGAGAGCAGTCTGGGAACGGGGAGTCAGAAACAGAGCAGTGACTTGCACAGCACTGTGAGCAGACTGACTGACCCACGGACCACACAGGGTGCTCAAGGGCTTAAGGCACTAACCAAGCCCGTCTGTCCTTAGCCACTCCCTGGCGAGAAGCTGGGTACTCTTACTCCTGCACATCACCTAGCTGTCTCAGCTCTTCCTACCTCCTTAGAGCCACCAGTGGACGGGATGTCTCCCTGCAGAGGTGGCTGGGCCCAGTACTGCAGGCCGCTGTCCTGACGTGGAGAGGGAATCTAATAATGAAGTCAACTTCCCCTTCAGTGCTTCTCGTCCCCAGTGGGCACAACACTGCGCTTTGGGTGCAGGTGTGTTAGCTTCTCTTCAGCTCCTCCCTTGCCAGCACCTACTGTGGGTATGAGAGAAGACTCTCGCTAACCTCGTGGGTCCTGCTAGCCTGCTGCCATGTCCCACCCCTGGCAGGGCTGCCTGTCAGTGGCAGGGCAAATGTCTGCTGTGGGTCTGGCCTGGTCAGCGCAGGGTTTCCACGCCTTTCATGTTTGTAAAGTGCTCGAGGATGCCGTGAGCTGGAAGGCAGCCTACTCGCACCAGATTATGTGTCTGACTGTGCTGTAGGCCAGCTCCTGGAATGGTCGTGTCAGAGGCTTCCGTGTGATGTGCTGCTTAGGTTTCATTGTGCCTGCACCATGCCAAGGGCATGGAATGCAGGGATGCCCTCCTGGGCCTCCTACCTCTCCTCCCGGGAATCTCCTCCCCTGCATGCGGTGACCAGACTCCTCACTGGGGCCAGATCCATCTCAGAGCCTCCTGGGATCCATTCCTGGGGCTGTTTCTCTCTGTGCCTTTATTTGTTGTTCGTGTCCATTCTCTGGGTGGGAGGGGATCCTACTGAGCCGGTGTCTCTGACTGCTGTGGTGACTGGAATAAAACCAATACCCTCTGTTTATTCTTCCCCTTGACTGACAGCTCCTTGCTTGCAGCCTTCTTCTCTTACAGCCCTAATGTGTCTTCTGGCAGCTTTCCTTGCTTTGAGTGGTTTTTAAAGGAAGGAGCAAATAGGCCGAAGGAAAAGCTGAGTTTTTCCATTCTCTCTTTCTGCCAGCATGTGCCAGGGAGCTGCAGCCGATGGAGGAGGGTTTTCCCCACTGCCTGGCTCCACTTTCTGGATTGTGACAGGGACACACAGCTGGGGAGAGGTAGATGCACCAAACGGAGGGATAGGGTCCAGAGTGATCTAGACTTTTTCTGCAGAGCTGCTGCTTAGCCAGTCCTCAGCCCATAGCAGTGCATGGGATTCTTTCACCTTAAGTGCGGCATTGGAGGGTTGAGCCAAAAGAAACAAGGACGGGTGCAGAGTCCTGCATTTAGAACGGAGGAATCCCAAGCACTGCTGCAGGCCAGGCACCGACTGGCTAAGTGGCAGTGCTGCAGAAAAGGACCTGGGTCTGACAGTGGATGGGAAGCTGGACATGAGTTGACAACGTGCCCTTGTAGACAAGAAGGCTACTGACATATTGGGGTGCACTAGGAGGAGCACTGCCAGCAGATCCAGGGAAGTGATTATTCCCCTTTATTCGGCTCTGGTGAAGTCACATCTGGAGCATTGCCTCCAGTTCTGGGTCCCCCTCTACTGAAGGGTTGTGGGCAAACTGGAGAGTCCACTCGAGAGAATTAAAACAATTAGGGGGCTGGGCCTCATGATTTAGAAGGAGAGGCTGAAGTAACTGGGCTTATTTAGTCTTCAGGAGAGAAATGTATGTATGGGGAAGGGGGGGCTGAAAGAACCCTTTAACTGCCTGAAGGGGGGTCCAAAGGGGATGGAGCCAGGGTGTTCTCAGTGGTGATGGATGGCAGAACGAGGCCCAATGGTCTCAAGTTACAGTGCAGATGGTCCAGGTTGGATATTAGGAAAAACTGCTTCACTAGGAGGGCGGTGAAGTACTCGAACGGGTTCCCTAGGAAGGTGGTAGAATCGCCATCCCTAGAGGTTTCAAAGCCCTGCCTGGGGTGATTGAGTTGGGGATGGTCCTGCTTTTAGCAGGGGTTGGACTTGATGAGCTCCTGAGGTCTCTTCCAACCCTAGGCTTCTATGATTTTGTGATTCTATGACTGCCGATGCATGTAATCCCACAGGGCTAATAATCTGGCTGTGGAGTCAGAGTAAGCCATGGTACACTTGGCTCATCTGTAAATTGGTGGCTTGTGGCTGGGAGCTGATGCTGTCTTTTGTGACAGAGCAGACTTGTCTTTAGCAGACCATACCTGTGGACAGCAAATCTCTCTTTTCACCCGGGCATGTGCAGTGTTGTCAGCATTAGCTCTAGAGCAATTATCTGCCTTTCCCAGCTGCTAGTACCCAGGAGTACAGTTTGCTGTGCTAGCTCTGGTCAGACTAGTTGTGACGGACCGGGCCGTGTCTGGGCACAGCTGAGATCGCCCGCTCAGGGCGAATTGCTCAAATCCGGGGCTCCTTACAGCCCCCGGACTGGTGACCTTCCCAAACAGGCCACAAACCAGTCCCACAGAGCGCTTCAGCAGCCTGCCTGAAGCGTCATGAACAAAACCCCTCCGACACCCCAGCAATATCCGTGCCCCAGATGGCCCCGGGCCTATACACAGGTGGAGGGGTCCTAGCACCCAATCCCACCTACCCCGAACAAGTTCTGTCCGGTTCCAAGAACCCAGCCACAGATTCCTGGTCAATTTACCCTCTGGATCTTACCCACAAATCATGCTGGGCCAATCCTTTAGCATCTAACAACTAAAGGTTTATTATCACACGAAAGAAAAGCCTGAGAGTCAGGTTGTTAAAGAATAGTACGTTACATGCACCGAATCTCCCAGTCCTCGATGCAGGCTCTAGCAGAGATGTCACAGCTGCTGGTTTAAAAGTTCTTGTTGCACATCCTAGCATCAGGATGGGTTCACAGGTCTTCCGGGCTCTTCAATCCCTGCAGTGCTGCCTCTGGGATGAAGTGCTGAGCTGAGAACAAAATGGCATCGACCACATGGCCTCTTTATACCTCCTTCCTGGCCTCTCCTTGTATGCAGCAAGTCACCTGACCCTCAGCCTCTCTCTGCTGGCAGCTCTTAGGTCTCCGCGCTCATGCTTTAGGTGTGTCCTTGGCCCATCGAGTGCCATTGTCCCACAGGGCCTCGCTAATCAGCCTGTCCATAGCAATGCTCAACGACATTCAGAGAAATATTCAGCTTCCACACAGATTACAGATTCCTACCTACACACACAGACATTATATACTCACATAAATAGCGTACAGAGGATCAGCAAACAATAAGCTCCCATTCAATAACCCACACGGCCCCCTTTTATACCAATTTCTGGGGCCAACACCCCCACCTAGGGGTGCAGCAGCGATCTGGCTGCTTCCCTCCAATTCGGTAACGTGACACTAGTGCAGTAACAACTGTAGCATTCTGGAGTCTCACGGGCCCACATGGGGCTGTCCTGAGTCCGCCAGCCCAAGCTGCTGTCTGGAGTTCTGCAGCCACACTGCTAGCGCAAGCACCTCTGTGTGAGCTGGGAGCCACCCCCAGCTGCTTCCCCTTTGATCCTGCCTATGGAGCCCAGTCGGCCTGGACCTTTCACTCCTGCTTCTTGCACGGAGATTCTTTGTCCGAGGCGCATCGCACTAGGACTCAGCACTATGTGTATGGGCGAGCACTACTGACCCCAGCAGACCAGCATCCGCTTCCTCTGCAGGCAGGGCAGGCAGCTACAGCCTGCTTCTGGCATTGGAAAGGGGAGTGTCTCGCACCAGAGCAAGGCCGTGGTCTTGCACCAGACTGGTTCATTGCAGCTAATGCTAGGGAGGTGGGGGACTCTTGTAGCACCGCTGTCTCCTGTTGCCCATTCCATCAGTTCCCCCCACTTCGGTGAGTGTCCGATGGTGCCTGGTTTGTGGCCTTCCCTACCACACCCTTCCCTACAGCCGTTTTTGAGTGTGAAACATTTGCCATTTACTCTCCAGCCCACCCCCTGACTCCAGACAAGAGCGCCATGTAGCCTGTAATGTCGCTGTGGCAGTGGATTGGCTTAAGGAGATGCCGGGCCTGACATTTCAGTTTCCTCTCCCAGTGAAAGGAGCATAAGATTCATAGTGTCAGCGCGAGGGTGCAGCGAGGGTAGCCAGGTGGAGGAAGAGCTTTGAAAGGTCTCCCTTGGGGAGAAACAAGGCTGCCGGATCCTACCAAAGCCTGCTGGTGCTGCACAGAACTGCAAACAGGATGGGGATTAGCCCGACCAGTTCCTTTGGCAAGAGGGAAAGAACTGGAGCAAAGCAAAAGACAAATTGTTTATTTCTGAAGGTTGATAAAACTACTGAGGGGAGTTGTTCTTGATTTTATTTTAACAAACAGAGAAGAACTGGTTGAAAATTTGAAAGTGGAAGGCAGACTGGGTGAAAGTGATCATGAAATCATAGAGTTCATGATTCTAAGGAATGGTAGAAGGGAGAACAGCACAATAGAGACGATGGATTTCAGGAAAGCGGATTTTAGTAATCTCAGAGCTGGTAGGTAAGGTTTCATAGGAAGCAAGACTAAGAGGAAAAACAACTGAAGAGAGTTGGCAGTTTTTAAAAGGGACATTATTAAGGGCCCTAAAGCAAACTATTCCGCTGCATAGGAAAGATGAAAAGTGGCAGGAGACCACCTTGAATCAACTGGGAGATCTTATATGATCAAAAAATCAATTGGAGAAGGTCCAGAGAAGAGCAACAAAAATGATTAAAGGTCTAGAAAACATGACCTGTGAGGGAAGACTGAAAGAACTGGGCTTGCTTAGAAAGGAGACGACTGAGAGGGGACATGATAGCAGTTTTCAGGTATCTAAAAAGGTGTCACAAGGAGGAGGGAGACAAATTGTTCTCCTGGGCCTCTGATGACAGGACAAGAAGCAATGGGCTTAAACTGCAGCAAGGGAGGTTTAGGTTGGACATTAGGAAAAACTTCCTACCAGTCAGGGTGGTTAAAAACTGGAATAAATTGCCTCAGGAGGTTGTGGAATCTCCATCACTGGAGATATTTAAGAGCAGGTTAGACAGACATCCTGCGTAAGGACTGTGAGGAATTTATCATGAGACGAGCGTTAGGTGTTAGAATGGAATCCAAAGGGGAAGAGAAAAAGGGGACGTCCCAAATAAACATGGGGACGAAGTTTCCTGGACGAAGTAAAAGCAGCTGGCTTAACATAGGATCAAATTAAGACTATTGCTAAGGATCGCAAGAGATGAAGAATGATTGTGGAGGCCCTATGCTCCATTAGGAGCCCAAAGGACAAATAGATAGAGACAGACATTTATCAGGGATGGTCTAGATGGTGCTTGGTCCTGCCGTGAGGGCAGGGGACTGGACTTGATGGCCTTTTGAGGTCCCTTCCGGTTCTATGATTCTGTGAAGTGTAGCAGGGGGAAGAGAGAAAGGATCCTTCAATTCTGCCTTCCCAGTCAACCTCACATCTTCTTTGCTGTCAGTGGAGTGGAGCAGCAGAACCTGGACCCTTTTGCTCACAAATCACAGGCCTCTCTGCCAAGGACTGGTCGCTCTTCAGAGCAGGAATAGTGCCTTGTATGCGTCCTGTGGCGCACTGACTGTACTTCCACGTGCTTTCAGACAAATAGCAAACTAGATCATCCTAGCTGAAGGAGGGTCTGGGTCCAGACCCGCGTACGGCACAGCCATCCCTGCATATGGGTGTGGTCATATGCTCCTATCTCATGGGATGGGGGGCACATAAGTACCATGACAGATAGGGGAGGGGTGTGCATGGGCCTGGGTTACTAGCCCACCCACCAACACATTCTGAATCTGATGCGAGCATACCAGATAGCCCACCTCATCCCACCCTCAGAGGGCTTCTGAGCACAGCCACGCTTCTTCCAACATGGTGTGTGAAAGCACTGAAGAAGTCACTGCATCTCTCCTGAAAATTTCATGGGGAAGGGAACTTGGCAGGCCCTGGACTGTGGGAATGTGAGGCCAGGTTTATCTAAGCTCTCAGGAAGCTCTGTGGCAAAGCTGGAGAGGCTGAGTTTCCTCCTTCCACATTTGGGAGATGGGGTTTGACAGCCTGAGCCTTGAAGACTATTGATAAAGAATTGTAGGAGTGATGAAAAACGTCTTGCGCTCTCCCAGACTGGAGTCCAACCAACTTCTGGGGCCTTTGCTTTTTCTGGAGCGGTCACTGCCAAGACTAATTTCATTCAGAGTGAACAAACATTTTCATAGATCCTGTTTCATGTGAGCGGAAATCAGAAAGGACACTTTTATATCTTCAGTACTTACTACTCGCCCTGCATTAGCGATAGTGGAGCTCGGCTACAATCTGATACAGGCCCTTTGTAGTCAAGGCCAAATTCCTGGCTTCAC